GTCAATTCTATCATGCAGGTTTACCTTACAGCATTCAAAACCCTTTGCATACATGGGATTTTCTCTTTCTTCTTTAAGCAAATAAGAATGTATTTAAAGGTGATCTGTGCAGAAAAAAAAAACAAAAGAGGACTAGGAAAGGTTGGGGACAATCAGAAGAGAAATATTTCTGAATATTGACTTGTTTCAATATCCTCATCAAAGAAACAAGAAAAAACAAAACAAATGACCAATGTTTGAAGACTTAGCATGTAATCACCCTTACAGCAACAAAAAAATTACAATGATATGGACAAGAATTTTAGTCACGGACATGGAAAGAAAGCAAGGCTTGATAGTCCTTGCAGGAGAAGGCTTCCTTTGGACTTTTCTTGTGAAATGACACCACAACTGTGTCAATGATTTTTAAGACAAACAAGAGATTCAAGAGAAATAGTAGAAGAAAAAGTAAACAAAAATAAAAAATAAAAATAGCCTCTCCCAAATGTTAATCTTCTTAAGATTTTACAATCTTCCCAAAGCAGACCATGTCTCTTGGTATGCTTGCACGGTGTTCAGTACACAACAGTACCTTGTTCCTGATGAGGGCCTCTGGCGTTACTGAAATATAAAACACCAAACAGGAGGCAGACAACATAATACTCAAGAAGAGGACAAATCAGATATCCTGCTGGAAATAAATTCTTGGTATTTCTTTATGTCTAAAATCCCACCCCATACCTGTGCCATTTTTACACAGGGAGGGAGAACCAAAGCTTAAAACACACACACACACACACACACACACAGAGACAAACAAGAATCTATGTAAATCAAGGGAATTAGCAGATGCATTGGTCATCTTCCACAAATAAGAAGCAAAAGCTACCATATGTACTTGTAAATTCAAAGATTAACGTAAATAGGCAATGCTGAGACTACAGGTATCATTGTTCTTTAGGTGAAGTAGCTCAGGAATCCCAGTCCTGAAGAAACTCAGCCACCCATCCAACTTCTGTGACTCAAGTCCCACCTTACGCTGCAGAACATCTATGGATTCATCAGCCAGAGACTTGCCAGCATAAACTGGATTCTTGCCGCTATTAGAGATGGCAGTGAAGTACTGACTCTGTAACTAGGTCGGACCTGATCACCTAAAACAAGGGCAATTTTCTTTATATCTCTGCATAAAGCGTCAAAATGGCAAAGACTGAAAATCTGGGAGCTGCAGACAGAACATCCAAGAATCATTTCTGATAGAAGAGGTTTAACTACATTTTAATACAGATGGTATTTTCTATTACTATCAGGGCAGGAGCCTATTGTTCAGCAGAGCTCTCCACTTCCTTTACACACGAGCTATCTCTCTGAATCTGTCTGAGTCAACTTTAGTGACCACTTTAATATTCACTTTACAATTAATGCTTCTTTTTATGGGTTGGTAGAAGGTAAACCAATTTCAGTTCGGCTTCTAGGTATTGAATTTATTATAAAAAGTTATGTACTTAAAACTCCTATAATGAAACTAGAAGCATCATGAGATATTAACCTAGAGTTAATGCTGAGAAGGCCAGTTTGAATAATTCAATTCATGTCACCTTAAGTATCTTTTCAAATGGAATTAACTTTATCTCACAAAAAAAGGAAGCTCCATGTTCCAGTTACTGATTATTGACTCCATGAGAGCTCAGTCTTAAATCATCTCAGCACCATTTTCCAGCAATTTTATTTCACTGCTACCAGAATGCTTCTTTAAATTTTGAGGGCTGACTTTTGTTTTAAAGAAGCAATATTAGGTAAGAAGAAAGCATGGTTTCAGAATATTGCTACCTTTAGGGGATGATAAAACAGGCCCCCCAAAAAGTTAATACCGGACCAGTGTTCGCATTGTTCAATTTAGCTGCAATATACCTACCTTTCAGCCACATGCATACAGCTACTGCAGTCTTTCGCCTCTCATACAACTCCACCTCTTTTTGCAACAATGCCAGAGATGTTTGCTGCAGTTCTCTTGACCTGTTAATTGTCATATTCTAACACAAAGCCCAACATTTAACCACTGAAAGGAGATGCTTTCAAATACTTATTGAAGCCCAAAGGAAAGTGGCAGCTCATGGTCAGCATTATTGTACAGTAACAATGGGAAGCCAGACAGGTGAAAAGCAGGGGATGTTAGGATATAGGTGTAGCAATAGAAATAAATCAAAACAATCAAGTAAGGAAATGAGGGGAAAGTGAAAAAAAACAAGCAAAAAAAACCAAACCCATCTCCTAACAGACAGAACAAAGAGGCATTTCAGTACAGTGTATAACTGTATAGCCCCACGTTTCTGCAAGACACAGGAAAATCAGACTGACATCGTACACTGAAGCACAGATGCCCTGGTAACATCGGCAGTTACTTGAAATAGGAAACACTGATTACCACTCCTAGACAGTTCAAAGAAGCGAAAACCAGGTAGCAAGCTAGCATCTATTGATTTAAAGCCTACCCAGGATTTTCTTAACCCAGCCAAAACAAACAATAGGAAAAAGACTCCCAAAGGACTGGGATTCAAACAAAACTCACGAAGACTTCCTTTAGCCTAGTATTTCAGCAAGGTGGCTTAAAACATGGGTTAAAACAAAAGGTGGGAGAATACCAGAACTTCCGCAGGGCAGAAAGACCTGGTGCGGGCAGTATTAGAGCAGGAGGAAAGTCTTCTGGATCTGTCCCCCCACACAGTTATTACCTCCCAAAAAACCTTCCCTGCTGCATTCCCCAGTGGCATTCCCCCATCAAGGCAGACACCAGAATGCAAGCCCTATGCCTGCCTCAACTACTGTGTTAAGACAACACGAAAACAGAACAAAAAGAGACTGATCACGACCCTAAGAGCTCACAGTTCAGTTATTAAGACAAGAGACAAAAAGACAACAACAAAAAAAGTGTGTTAAAATAACACAATAGCCCAACAAGAAGCAGCCCAGTGACTCTTGATAGCTATCACGTGAAGGAGCATGTTAGGGAAAGAACCAACACAATGAGACAGTCCTGTAAATCTTTCCATAGTTTCTGAGCTGTGAGGAAAAACATAGCAAGAACTGCTTGTTTGGGAAAAAAAAGGTAACAACTTATAAAGCCAAAAGCATTCAAGATATAAAGAGCTCATAAATACCAGGACTGCACTGAAAGAAAATTGAAGAGGAAGACTAAAAATACTTCAGAAATAGAAATACTTTGCAAGGTCTAAGGAAAAAAAACAATTGAAACATGCTTTGACATCTCTTTGTCTACAGCTAGAAAGCTCTGCACAGGGCAAGAGGGCTAGGGTAATTTCAGACCTGGTAGGCTGGAGCTGTAGACTAGGTAACCATAACTGAAATGTCAAGGCAAACCTCAATACAATATGAATTTGTGTTTGTGGACAAAAGTAGAAAAAAAGAAATAATGGGATGGATCAAAGACAAGCTTCATAGAAGTTTGCCCATGAAATCAGAAAACAAGTTCAGAGAATACATATATTGATGGAGTAATTCAGAAAACAGAAGAACAAGAGGAGATGAATGTGGATTGCTGTACTGTCAGCTGCTGATTTGACAGTTAATGTGCTGAAGGTTTCCTATTATCTGCTTCTATACTTTTGCATTGTAGATGTGATTACACCAGATAACTTTACACTAGGCGCTAACCTAGTACAAGATAGGTGTATTTAAAGCTGAAAGGCTAACAGTGCAGGTAAGCGCAGCAAAACCTGAGGGAAAACACAGCTCCTGTGGTGCTGCTGGACTGCATGGTCTCTTCTGGACTGTTTCCTATGGAGATAGCCTGCAAGTTGCATATCACAGACAAGAACACAGGAATCATCCATTCTCAGAGAAAGAGGTTCTTGTTTTGAACTCAACATCATCACAAAATGGATGGCAGACAAAAATACAATAGAGTGGAAATGAAATGTTTATAAAGGCTAAAGGCCTGACAAACAGCTCAATGTCCAACAACATATTTTACCAAAAAATACCATCAGCAGAATAAAAAGCACTTCCTGATGCTGATGAAGTCATAAGTATTGTAACCTGCTTCCTGAACAGAATTAAAGATTACTCATTCCTTCACAGGACTCCTGAGAAGTAGGATCTGTGTGTGTAATTCTGTCAGTAGGGAGGCCTAAATGAGGCCACCTTTTGGACACTGCGCTTCTAGCCATTTACAAGCCTTTAAGACTCTTCCAGCAAAACAAAGGATCAAGGACCCAGCCTATGAGAAAACGCATAGCCTTAAGTAGGATAGATTCTGGAGATCTGCAGATGGAAATTACTGGAAGAGAACAGCAAGTAAGAACATCAGGTACAGCACTTGCATAAGTAGCCTTCATTTCCAGGGTATAATCTGTTATCAGCAGGGATGCAAATCAAGTACCTAGCTATCAGGAAAAAAAAAAAACAAAAATCAATCTCAGGCAACCATGTTTTCAAGGCTTGGGGCGCATTCATCTGAGAAACATTTTACCACTTAATTTAACATACTGTAGCTCTAGTCAACATTTTCTGTTTTTAAACTGCATATATAATTATAGGTCTTCTATAAACAGCTCGAATCAGATGGGCTGCCTTACAGACTTGAGAAAGCTCTTACTGACCACATACATCATCTGTAATGTCCTTTTCAATCATCAAAAGCCACAGTGAAACTCTGAAAGGCTGTATCTATAGTGACTGCAATTATTTTACCATTTAAGAAACAGGACAGAAAACAGAACAGCATCTCAACTTTTTCCTTAGGAAAGGCATGGGTTCCTATGATTCCTACTGCACTACCACATGGACAGTTAACTTCATACACTTTATTGACCCAAAACGTGAGGGGTCTTTTTGTTCATTTCCCTGAAATCCATGTATTAAGGGAAGGAGCCCTGGGAAGCCAATCACAAAACAGTGCTCACTGCTGCATAATGCAAGACAACGCACCCAAAGTTCTAGCAAAGGACAAAAGATGTTTAAAAGATGTTGTTAAAAAAGGAGATGGGGAAAAAAGAGCTTACCTTCTGCTCCTTTTCCTTGGCAGCACTGAGTTCAGAAAGGGAGAGGGATAGTTTTTCCTGCTGCTCAGCTAGGTACTTCTGATAAAGGCTCAGAAGTTCCTGGCATTCTCTGTACTGCTGCTGCAGAGGTAAGACATCAGAAGTTAAGGGAAAAATACTCTTTAGCGAACAGTTAGAATCAAATATATACCAACTTACTCTGTGTAAATCCGATTTGGATCCATAACAGCTCAATTTAAAAACAGATAGTGTGTGTTTGAGTACTGCCTAATGATGATAAATCTGCCTAGAGATGAATGTTCAAGCACAACTTTCTTTCTACTCAGACAGTGGAAAAAGAAGAATTACACCAAATTCTTTTATCATTGGAAAAGGGACAGGCAGGAGGCAGGTGATGACACTGTTTCAGTTGGAACAATTACAGCCTCTGATTCGTATTCAGCAAAGCCAGCTACTACCAATGTTTATTTATAAATAAATAAAAAGCCAGCCAAATAAGTAAATTGTCCATTTTTAAGCACAGAAATGGATTCACAGGCCCATATACCCAAATCCAATCTCTTTGCTTGAGCACCAACGGCTCCAAACCCCACAGCCAAGACACAGTGCTACAGGCCTTTTAGAGACTAGCAGTGATTTTTGGACAGTGATGTGGAGAAGCAGTAACTGTGGTGTTTGCAAGGATATTAACAAGCAACAGTGTCCTGCCTTGCTTGCAGCATTGAAATTCCAATAGGAGACAAATCTGCTCTTCACCTGTCATTGTGTAATTCCCTCCCTTGCTCATGTAGCATGGTAAACCATTTATGCTCCCCTCTCTCCCCCCTCACTTTTAATTATGCATGCAGATGGGATAAGGGCTCGCTGTCCAAAGAGATTACTCTGAATAAATACTTTAATAACAAGTCACTGCAATTAAGGTAGGGAACAAAAACTTCTTCAATCTATAAAATGGTGTTGAGTTACAGATTTCCTTAACATTTTTATGATCTAATCATTGCTTCTGGGCAAAATAATGTTGCAATCCTTTTTGCCAATCATGGCTGCATAAATAACTTACTGCTTTGTTATTCCCCATTATGACCCTGATTTTTTTTCTTTTCCTTCTATTTCTTGTTCTTTGGGGGGGGGGGGGGGCTTGCCAGGTTTTCTTGTTTGTTTTTTTTTCCATGAAAAAAAAATAAAAAAAGGCTACACAGAGAATAAGCAAACATTTCAGGACAGAATGGGAGGTTATTAAGCCCCAATGTTTAAATCGATCAGGAGAGCTCCTAGAACACTTTTGCTCAGCACCTGGAAACACAGGATGGCACAAACAATGGTCTAAACAAGCTAATTGCTTTCCAGAGCCAGCCTGCCTGAAGCCTGAGCTGTTTTACATTTCAGTTCATTTCGTCAGAGAGCACACCAAAAGGCTGAAGTGATTTGTGGTGGTCTCAGGAGTCTCTGCCAGCTATGATGTATATAAAAAGAATTTTTTATTCCGGTTGTAACCATAGGCAGTAATGTTGATAGTAGGTGAACATATTAGCCTGGACGCAGGGCATGAATTTTACTCTAGAAAAAGCCAGTTCATTTATACAGTCTAAGAGTTAAATGTCGGTATTTGAAGACAAATTATAGGGAAATTCATTTAAACCCATGTTATGTGGCAGAATATAAAAACAGACAGCCCTATCTTTATCAATTTTTTACAGCTCTCTTATTTCACTCTGCTTCCAGCAGCCCCTTCCCCACAAAACAGATTTTACCCTCTTCTCCCACCAGCTAGCACTGCTGGCACAAGGAACGAGTACCCTAAACAGCCTTATGGCACATTACAGATGGCCATGCACCTACCCTCACTCCTGCACAGTGTTAGTGTAAGTCCCGCTGGAAAGCTAGGCAAGACTGCCCTCGCTCCCAAGCTTAGCACATACATGGTGCAAATGTACCATAAAAAAGATGCCCAAATTGTGTTTTACAGACTGCAGAACCCTTGCTGTGCACCTGAGGTCACCACCTCTTGCTTGCAGCTGCCAGATTTGAAATACAGCTTAAAACTTGACATGCAAAATTAACATAAGGAAAGCATGGAAGCAAATCCTGGTTGTCCAAGGGTCAGTTACGTGATCATGAGTGGGAAGGGCAATAGTTAACATGAGCCTAAACGGCAGCTGAGCTGTCCCTGAAGTTGTAAGATTCGGTCAGCACTGTAGCTGTTAAAGCTTCCTGTATTAGAAGATTAAAACCTTGTTCATTCACGCAATCACACTACATTAAGCAAAGGATTGTTACAACCACCATAGTCTGAGAGTCCAAAGCCCTGCTTTGCTTACCAAGTCAGTAAACATGAAGCTTCAAATAGGAGAGGGAAAAGAAATGTTCATTTGTTTAAGATACATGCAGAATAGCTGTAAGTATGGCAATTCTCCATAATGTGCTGGTACATTTACTGCTGAATATGTTCTTAGGAAAAAAAAAAAAAGTGCTTAATATTAGATCTTACTCTTCCATTCTATTGAATTTTTGCTAAAAGCAGCAAGATGATTTCTTTTTTTCCCCCTACAAATTAGCCAGGCAATATACAACACTGCCACAAAAATATTTATGTCACTCAGATATAACAAGGGTGCACACATACTGTGGCACTACATTCTCTAGACAAATACATGGGTAATGCTAAATATTTTTATAATCTGCTTAAAAAAAAAATAAGGTAAAGATGAAAAAAAAAAAAAACCACAAACCTACATGACAACAAGTCCTGCAGAATCGCGTTCCACAGAAAAAGTAATGTGCCTAAATGCTCACATCAGATATTTCTTCATGTGCTCAGGAGCACAAATAATGGATTTACAAGATGTTAGTTACCTGAGAGAAGTGGTACTTGGCATTTCACTGAACGGTAGTTTTATGTCCAAGAAATATGCATTTGAATGTATCCAAGTAATGCATTTCATGTCATTTATTAGTAAAGCATTAAGAGGGGGGACAAAAAAAATAAATTCAGAAATGCAAATGTTAAGATTTCAACAGCTACATTTACATGTCATACTTACAAGTACTATATACTTTATAGAATAAATTAGTTAATTTCATCACTGAATGAAAGTCAAAGAATTAAGAGTTCATTTATGGCTCTTAAGAGATAATAACCTCAGCGGAGATAGAGTTGGCTTTGAGAAGAGGGACTGCTAGCATGTAGCAGTGGCATGCTTATGGAAACCAGGAACAGATTTCCAGGAAGAAGGACGTTAAGCAGGGAACAAAGCTTGTTCTTAAGGGTGAAGCTTCATGAGAAGGCACAGTCAACCTAATGTTCAGCTGCTGCTAAAAACATACCCCTGCTCAGCCCCTCAGTCTCACTCACTCCAGCTGCACCAGCTCTCCCAGACTCCTCACTCCAAGGGCTCAGCAAACTGGCCCAGCAAGGCAAAGGGTCCACCAAGCACAAGCCCTGGTAAAAAGCAAGCAGAGGGAACACGCAGCTGGGAGAGGAGGACACCTCCTGAACAGCAGCAACCTGCCTGGTAGTGTCCATCCACCTTAGCAAAGTCTCTTTCTCCAGTTCCACTCTTCAGCCTTAGGCTATCAGGTCTGCTCTATGACTACAGCAACTACTCACAGCTTACTCCTTGCTGAAATGGTTTTAACCCTCTCACAAACAACTACAGTTCCTTGCTTCTCCAGAAACAAGGGGGGTGAAGCCAAGTGCCAATCTCTAGCACACCCACTGACCTCCTGCATTGTTCCCATTGTCTCTTGACTATAAGCTTAAAATCTGAAGTGTTTTGGTTTAGAGCATTCAGCAACTTCCTAGAAAGCTTTTCCACATCCTTCTGTGAGCAATGCTCATGCTAAAGCGGTTCAAACACCACCGGTCTCTTCAACTATAGTCAAGGTTTTCAAATTAAGCCAATACCAGGTTTCAGCAAATAACCCATGAGGGTTATTTACTGAAATTCTGCCTTTCTTAAATCACTTTTTCTAAGAGGAAAAGAAAATAAATAAGGCAGAGGACCTTATCTTTAGAAAAAGGGAGTTTTAGCCTGTGTCATTCAAGATAAATGTTTAGTTTTACTTCACTTTATTTTAAAGAAAATTAGAGCACCCTCCAATCATGGATATCTGGGGCTGGAAAAAAGTTTTCTAGAACCTATCAGTACAGAAAAAGAACTCTACTAATGAGATTTTTTGCAATCAACCTAATAACAAAGGCCCTTCCAAATTTTCAGAGTGTTTGTAAGAACCCCTCACCTAGAGATGCCCTTCCTCCACGGCTCATCACAAGCATTTGTGGGGACAGGCATAAGCTCTAATGTTTTGTTTTTACACATGGAAAAACTGCAGCACAGGGAGTCTTCACGCATGTCTGTGCAGTCTGGTGCAACCCAGCAACCCTATGCTCCACAAGCCAGCTCCAGGACACAAGCCTTGCAGCTGTAGGGTAAGTTATCACAGCTCAAACACAGCACTAACAGATCAGATTCACCTTACTCCCAATGCACTCAGAGTGCAAGCTTGCCTGTATTCACATCCATGCAGACAAGCCCTAATAGACTTCTCAAGCACCACACAAGATGCCCAAGGATGACTGATTACTACAGTCCCTGACTGTAAGTCCAACTTGAACTCTCCTTTCATTCAAGGCTGCATACCCCGATCCATACCCAGAAGGGAACACAAGAGCTAAATCTCCATCTTCAGCAGCAAGATTCTCCAGTCCCATCAGCCCCTATGTCCAATGGAGGATTCACTAGAGAATCACAGCTGTTACAGAAATATGCAAAAATGAATAGAGCAAGCAAAGGAAGTAAAAAGTCAAACAGGCAGAAGTCAGATTTAAAATTAAGATAGCAATAACTTACTCTTCATGGTAGAGATACGAGAAACCTCCAGTGATATTATTTCAGCGCCTAATGAAGAGGGCTTTTTGACATCTGCAATCATGATCTATTAACCACAAAACACTACCTTTTAATCCCTGCTTAAGGACAAGCATCTAGAAAGACGACTAGTTATAATCATATTTGCAATTTCATCAAAGACCAAACTCCCTTCACTGCTTCAGGTAGTTCCTTCAAGACAAAGGCTGTGAAAAAGATAGACTGACACGAAGATGCTGAGGAGGTGCCACTCACACTAG